AAGCTTCTACTCACCAAGGTGGTGCCGATAGGGAAGGTGTAGCGGACGACTTGTTAGTAGTGACTAGCCTCTACCAGGCTTTGAAAGCGGCTGGAAGTAGACGGCAAATGTAATAATCATTAGCGGACCAACTCCCCTGACATTTTTCTAGATGCTTCTGAAGCCTGGTTACTAATGTCGTAAAGTAATTTTTTTAGGGCAGAGTTTTGTGGATTTTCCCCCCTGATTTTGTAGGTGGTATGTTTTGCAAACTTCTTTTGATTGTGATGTTTTATATTGGTGATGGACTATGTCTATCTATCTTACTTTACAGACTGAAGTTCCTGCTCGCTAGAGATTAAAATGTCACATTAAGCCTCAATAAGCTGTCAAGTACAATGTCAGATTATATTAATCTGTATCCAGTCTGTTCTCTCCATATATGTATCCTCGATCTGGTGTCTTATATTAGCCCAAACGGGATAGGCGTATAAAGCGCAAGACACGTTAATAAAGTTTTACATGTATTTCCTTACCGTGTGTTTGTTGTTTCTATATCGGTACATATATATCATTATACATTGTTTATGTCACAACCAGAGGGTCAGAAGTAAATCATCTCTATGCTTTATTACAAAAGGCGTAAAACATTTTCACCTGAGTAGAGTGAGGAAATTCGCGATCGTGTCAAGTGTCTTTCTCAAAGGGCACAAGATCGGCGGCATGGCAGGATTCGAACTCGGGACCTCTTGGTTCTGAGCCCAACGCTCTGTCGTTACACCACAAGACCTCAATTTGGCGCCCAGGGTGTTCCTCCGGTCACGTTCATGACCTGACGACGTGGTGGGGCATTACGGAGGATCACGCGCCACGCTTTTGAACACTTTAATATGTTGTTGTTATTCGCACGGGGGTTGGTGTAATTGCATTTACAAGTGACAGAAGTTGAACCTTTACCTACTACTAGTTCTAGTATACGATAACCACAGCAGTTGTAGTAATGAGATTCCACACTCTTGTAACAAATTGAGGATGGGTAAAAACAGGAGCAGGTTTGTGACAACTCCCCAGTGTCAACGAAATGCCAGCCCTTATGCTAAGTGCCGCCGTGTGCGATAAATTTATTCTGTATCACTGTAAAATGAGATTGGTTTTATTTGGTAAGGAACTCGAAGACAAGCTAGTGGAAAGCAGTAGTGGCCCGCATCGTCGGCAGATGATGATGATGATCACAGCAAAATTGTACCTACTAGTAGGTAGAAATAGAAGTTGTTTATCAGCGTGACTTACTTATAAAAGAAAACATTTACTCAAGCAACTGGACAAATTTTGAAAACTATCAAACGTTTCAGGTACTAGCATCTACAACTTTTCAACAATGACTGACGAAATGTTATAATTAGTTGCTGACGAAACGTCACTGACGAAAGGTAGTGGATGCCAGCTTACAAAATCTGTCCAGTTGCCCGAGTAACAGTTTCCTTGTGTATCTCATTACCTGGAGATGTCTAACCGTCAATAACGTATGACCTACTTAACTGGTAATGCTGAGGTCACATTTCCAAACCGGGGCCCGGCCGGGCTGTTTGTACGAACGAAAAATTAACTATTCTTATCAAGAATATAGAGAAATACAGTAGAGCGCATGATTGTTATTAAGAACTTTTCAATGTTTTGTTGTCTTCTGTATCGTAGTTTTCGTTCCCAAAATCTGTCCGGCCGGGCCCCGTGTATGAATTGTGACCTCAGCATTAGCTGTTAAGCACACTGACGCACATAAATTCATTCAATGTCCAGCTGTTAAACTTTTGGTCAAGTTTGTCACCTTGAAAGAGTGAAAAACAACTTGGAAGCGTTTTAAGAGTATTAAGACATTTGCGTGTTCCCAAAACAGTGAAATACTCGTTTTTACACTCGCGTCAACTTTAAGCTCACTCTCGACATTGCCATGGAAACGTAGCTTAATCAATAATTAGGACAATGACATGTAACTAGGTTAATTAGTCACCTCCTGTCGTCTTTTCCTTACAAAATCTCATTAGCTGGTCACAAAAGACAGTATAACCTTCGTATAACGTAATTAGTTAGTTCATTTAAAGTTAAAGTCCTCTCCGCAACCGTTAGCGTCATTGGTCGCATATGGGTGGCGCCCATCTCCGTTTCTGTAGCCCTTGGGCCACACAGATATGCAATCACTACACCCGGAGGCCAGTCCAGTAGTAGTGGTGTGTGTTTAACTCCCGTACTTTCTCCCAAATGCTGAGTGCTAAGCAAATTTTGATCGAGCAAATGTCTCGAAAAGAAAGCAAAAGAAAAAAGTAGTGTACCATCTTTAAAGTCATTGGTATGACTCGGCCGGGGATCGAACTCACGACCTCCCGAATGCAAGGCGAGCACTCTACCCACTTGGCCATTGCACTGGTCTAACGCAATCAAAACATGTGAATAGAAGAAGAGGAAACTGCATTAGTAACATTAGAACGCCTCCCTGCATGTCGTATTGTCCAAGCCGACACAGGTCAACGAATGGCTTCATTAACGGACTAACTTAATTTGGCAAAATTTGACAAAACACGAAAAAACACGGTGGGTGTTACTCAAAAGCGAGTTTGTCATATCCTTGTTTGTGAGTCCGGCGAGCAAGACGCACAGGAAATATGGCGCACAGTGAACTGCGTTTCAGGCTTCTGGTCTGGCTGTTCGTTCTCTTTGGATCACTAGGTGAGTAAATGCGTGGATAACTTTTTGAGTGATAGCACAATTCTTGTGTTTATTTAGAAAATTCAATAGGGAGAACATATGCAATTTGCTAGAGAGTCGTAGGAAATCTGACTGCTTTTGAAAACTAGATTTTGTTTACGTGTATGCCTTTTGGGGAATTTTAAATTAGACAAATTTTTTACTTAACATTTTAACTTGGGATGTTTTAGGGACTGGAATCCAGTAGATTTGGCCAGAGGCTACGTTTTGTTCTAAAAATATTCTTATTTACTTGTGTGTTTTCTATGCTGTTGCTGAAGTGATCTATGCCGTACTCATCTGCTTAAAAAAACTAGATTTGTTTTAACCTTTGAAGTATTTTAGGGACGATCACCTGCCAAGAATCCTCCAGATCCGGTTTAGAAAATTCTTTTTTTTCTCAGAAAATTTGGCTGACATAATGATTGTGCGTCGCTATGCTGACTATCGTGGTCGTTAACTGTTTTACCTTTTCTTAAATACTTCTAGAGATGATCGTTGGCCAGGAGTCCTCTGGCCTTGGGTCTTGGTCCAGACGGCTATGTGCAGTTTGAAGGTGTGTGCTACCGGGTGTACAAAGAGTTCCGTACGTACGGACAGGCCCTGGGGATCTGTACAGACGACGGAGGAACCCTCGCCATGGCCAGACTTGTATTTTTGGATTTTTTCTTTCAGGTATAACCGTTGTCCAGGAATCCTCTGGATCTCAATACTGCTGAGGCCGCTACATTATGCTCGAAAACGTCTTTAGTTGACTTGTCTTACAGTTTGGGATTTTTCTTTTAGGGACGATCACCGGCCAGATTTGTCTTTTACCTTTTGAGATTTTTGGGGACGATTATCAAATCGTATTTGTTCCTTTTTTAGGGACGATCACTGCCCAGGAGTCCTCAGGCCTGGGGTCCTGTCCAGACGGCTATGTGCAGTTTGAAGGAGTGTGCTACCGGGTGTACAAGGAGTTCCGTACGTACGGACAGGCGATGGGAATCTGTGAAGATGACGGAGGAACCCTCGCCATGCCCAAGACTAAATCCATCGACGCGTTCTTCACGGGACTCATCATTGACATGGGCCCGATGACGGATGCCTGGATCGGTAAGCGTTCGTGTGTTTCATTTGTTTGTTTGTTTTATTCACCGGCTTCCATATTCATGCCTCCCAGCCTTTTCCGGACCATTGGTTGGGAGTCGGTCGCTGAAGTCTTTCAAAAGCGCCACAGAACTGTGTTTGATCTGTTAGTTCTTCGTGTGTTTGTTTCTTTGTCTGTTATATTCATTGGCAATGATCAGGCTTAGGGTTAGGATCAGTCATCCAAGATCGTAGATTTGCCCCAGGCACGGTTCTGGATAGTCTCTGTGTATCCAAAAACGTAGATTTGCCCCAAGCACGGTTCTGGATAGTCTCTGTGTATCCAAGAACGTAGATTTGCCCCAGGCACGGTTCTGGATAGTCTCTGCGTAGCCAAAAACGTAGATTTGCACCAAGCACGGTTCTGGATAGTCTCTGCGTATCCAAGAACGTAGATTTGCCCCAGGCGCGGTTCTGGATAGTCTCTGTGTATCCAAAAACGTAGATTTGCCCCAGGCACGGTTCTGGATAGTCTCTGCGTAGCCAAAAACGTAGATTTGCACCAAGCACGGTTCTGGATAGTCTCTGCGTATCCAAGAACGTAGATTTGCACCAAGCACGGTTCTGGATAGTCTCTGCGTATCCAAGAACGTAGATTTGCCCCAGGCACGGGTTTGGATACAGCTGGGGTATAATTTTCCAGCTACTCTTGGACTAGAACGATTTTAACATCATTTCCCCATGCAGGCCTGAGTAACCTAGCCGGTACGTGGACGTGGCTAGACGGGAACACCGTGGACGGCTGCGGGTTTTCTGCGTTCTATGTCTGAATGTGTTTAGCCGATGTGTTATGGTTATGGTTAGGATCAGGCACGGTTCTGGATAGCCTCTGCGTATCCAAGAACGTAGGTTTGTCCCAAGCACGGTTATGGATACTAAGTTACATGTATCTATACCACCCCCCCCCACCCCCAGGTCTGAGTAACCTAGCCGGTACGTGGACGTGGATGGACGGAAACACCGTGGACAAACTGTGCCTATACTATAGGTCTGTGCCTGTAGGGGCTAGGGTTAGGATCAAGCATGGTTCTGGATAGTCTCTGCGTATCCAGGAACGTACATTTGCCCCAGGCACGGTTCTGGATACATCTGGACAATCCAGAACAGTGGCTGAAAGGGTTAGGGTTAGGATCAAGCACTGTTCTGAATTGTCTCCGCGTATCCACTGTTCAAGAACGTAGATTTGCCCCAGGCACGGTTCTGGATACGTGTGGACTATCTAGAAGCGTACTTGAGCATGGTTCTGGATCTGGATAAAGCACGACTGTGGGTACGCGTTGCCTATCCAAAACCGCGCCTGGTGTTTTTTCTGTATCACAATACCCTTACTTTCTGTACCATTTCCCCCATGCAGGTCTGAGTAACATAGCCGGCACGTGGACGTGGCTAGACGGGAACACCGTGGACGGCTGCGGGTTCTCGGCGTTCGATGACGCCATCACCCTGAACACGGCGGGCCACTGCGGCTACATCAAGTTCACGTCCTGGTACAAGTGGCACGAAGACTCGTGCGACGGAGTTCTGAAGTCTGGATTCATCTGTCAGATCGGTAAGTTAGATTTATAGTGTATTATCTATGTTTGCACCAGACGTCTGTCACCATGGTAACTGGTGCTGTAGCATACACCCTGAACACCCTGGGCTACTGCGGGTACATCAAGTTCACGTCCTGGTACAAGTGGCACGAAGACTCGTGCGACGGAGTTCTGAAGTCGGGATTCATCTGCCAGATTGGTGAGTTTTAGATATTTTCAAGACAAGACAAACTTAACTACATCTTGAACACTATATAAGCTTTGGAACAATCTTTCTGAGGCAATAGTTATGATTAGGGACAGACAGAAGTTTTTTTAAATTAAGTAAAGAAAATTCTTCGCTCAGCGCAAAACAAATACAGTCAATGACTTGGACTAGACGTCTGTCACCATGGTAACTGGTGCTGTAGCAGACACCCCTCGGTGTTGGATTACATTATGTAGCAAGAGGACTATAATGTTGTCAGGGATTCGAACCCATAACCTTCAAATTCCGAGTCAACAACCCTAACCACAAGACCACATTGCCACTTAAAAATAATGGTTACGTTGTCCTTTCTTTTTTCCCACAGGCTTGGCAGACTCCGGCTGTACCCCAAGTAAGTAGCTATGACTACATTTCACTCACGTGCACAATTCCATTTATGTAAGACAACGTTTTGATGCACTTTGGTGCACAAAAATGCTCCCTCTACATCGTTGGTATCTTTCAACTCCACTTTGAAAAAAATTCCTATGTTTTTCGTCGCCTTTGTTTGCATTTACGTATGTTTATTTGTATCAGGTTTAGCGCCAAGAAGGCATAAATTGATTGTCATGAAATTTGGTATGTGAACAGGTCTTAACCTATCAAACAAAGGATCAGCTTTTGGACGCCCTGGCGGTTTTCCTCGAACAGACCTTCAGGTTTTGGTCAGGCATAGGTCCCCTAGCAGCTTTAGTTGAACTGCAGGGGCTAATTTCGTTTGCGACTCTCTACATAGGATATGTATGTATGTATGCAGCACCATAACCCAAGAGGCTATCAATGGATTTTCATGAAATTTGGTATGTGGGTAGGTATTGAACTATCAAAGACCCCCTGGCGACTTTCCTTGGTACTGCAGAAAAACTTCCACTTTCTCCTAACCCCCCCACAGCTGACATGTGTACGCACCCCTAATGTATGCATATATGTATGTATGTACATGGCAGAATAACTCAAGAGGCTATCAATTGAGTGAGTGACTATCTCTTGACCTATCAAAGACCCCCTGGCGGCTTTCCTTGGTACTGCAGCAAACCATCATTTTCTTCTATCTATCCCCCCCCCCCAACAGCTGACATGTGTACGGACCATCCCGATGGTGTGTCCAGTGGAGACACCTGTTACTTCGCCAACTCCGACTCGTACCAGACTTACGCGGGCGCCAGGGACGGCTGTACGGGAGCTGGGGCATTACTGGCCATGCCGAAAAACCCGGGGACTACATTCATGATGATGGGCATCATTATCAAGTACGTGTCTATGTGTGTGTGCTTGTGTGTGTGTGTGTGTGTGTGTGTGTGTGTGTGTGTGTGTGTGTGTGTGTGTGTTAATGTGTGAGTGTGTGTGTGTGTATGTGTATGTGTGTGTCTTTTTGCGCGTGTACGTGTGTTGTTACAAAATAATGAATACTGAATACACTTTTTATAGTGGTTGCGTTACTTCTCTCTGCAACAGATAATCGTAGATGAATTGCCGATCTCCCAGTCAGCTTTTTCTTTGCAAACTGCAATTCTTCGTTAAAGGACAGTTTTTATTTTTAATTCTATTTCATCCTTTTCAAAACAATCCATCAGGTACAGCGCTAGCCGGTCTACCGACTACTGGGTGGGCATTGACGATCTGGCTGAGGACGGGCGGGAAGAGTTTGCAGACGGACTCCTGCTGGACCGGTGCTCGTACACCAAGTAAGGGTCATTCGTTAGGCCATGTTGATTTGATTACGTGGATGATATCCTCTGGGAACCCCAAAACTGACGCGAGCTTGCGAATAAAAAAGGTTTGGCAAAAAAGTTTCCTTCATTATGAAATCTACTACGTGGTCCTAAAGGTTGAAAAAATGACTAAACACACACATATACGGTATGGCGAATGATACGTAATAGACACTTCATTTTCATTTCATCACATTCGAGGCGGGTCATACGTGCCAGATAACTTGTGTCGCCCCCCCGTCAAAATTTGGGGTAAGTCCAAATTCATTGCGGTGTTGGCAGTTAAATTTAGTCTTTATTTCATAATGACTTGTACCAACACAGATGAACTTTCATGCTAAGATTATAATTGGTGTTTTTTACCAGTTGGATCGCCGGCTTTTCTGGAAATGACGCGGAGAAAAACTGCGTCGCTTTCAAGTCCTCCATGTGGATGGAGTGGAGCTTCATGGACTGTACTCGGCCTGCTAACTACATCTGTCAACTGGGTCAGTAACTGGGGAGGGTGGGTTAGTGTGTGGGGGTTAGTGCGTGTGTGTGCGTGTGTGTGTGTGAGGGTTAGTGTGTGTGTATGTGTGTGTGTGGGGGGG